TTGATTGCACCTGCGCTATTCCGTCTGACCATCTGACCGTCTGTCATCCCTTCCGGATTGCCGTTGCCGTGTGTCTGCAGTCCCCTGCACTAACACGCGTTTCCAGCCGTTTGTATATTGTATATATCCCGTTCCTTTCTAACATGTTGTCACCGCTGTCCACCCGTGGCAGGTCATGCGGTATGGGCTCCACTTAGTCGACAGCGAGGGCCCTATTAACACACGGACGCGACGTACGAACGCCGCAGCAACACGTCACCACGACGGATGTCGTGCCAGTACACCGTCCTGCCGCCTATGCGGCGGTGCTAGCTGCTGCCGATCGCGCGCTTATGCAGGCACCGCGGCTTCTGCCATTCACCATGCACTCGACAGGTATGCTCCCGGCCCGACTTCCGCCCCCTTTCGGTCCTCGTCGTGACCGTACTAGTACCCGCCCCCATGTCACTCCGTGTTATATGATTGCACCCACGCTATTCCGTCTGACCGTCTGACTGCCTGTCATCCCTTCCGGATTGCCGCTGCCGTGTGTCTGCAGTCCCCTTCGCTGACACATCCGGAACCACGGATCTTACCGTTCGTCCGTCCCTTCCGAATGCATCTTGCCTGCAGCGGCTCTAGTGTGTATGGCAGGTGTGTATGTGTTCACATGGGCCTAGCGGATACACTCTGTTTGGTCTACACGGAAGGCCCGATTCGCACGCGCATAACAAAGGCCTGCCGCTGCCATGATGACAATGATGCTCGCACCAACACGTGGTATTATTATGGTACGCTACCGATGCACGCAAAACTCCCTCCCCCCCGCCCCCCGAAGCCACACACACTCACGCGGGCACGCACACCTGCGGCTGTCTACTATGCGGTCCTTCTGCATCGAAGTCGTACCGGGTCAGTAATCCGGTAAGGTCCGGACCCGGACGGTGTGCACCCGAGTCTTTGATCCAGAATGACTGCACAGCAGGTCGGTGTGGTGTACCCCGGTGTGGTGTATATGTGCTGCACTGTATCAGTCCCGTACCACAATAACACCACTGCATACCTAATTAACGCTGACCGTTGAGCCGGTGGTCTTGTTATGCTACGGTACCTGTCCATGCAAACCTCCCCGTCCCCCCCCCCC